CGGACGAGTCAGAAACTAGAAGGTAACCAATGCTTGATTAACTAGATTGATTGCGAAGAACTAACTAGGTGCATGAATGAGTGTCCTTATATATCCTCCGCTTGTATACCATATGGACTACCATTCTGATGGTAGTGATTATGGTAGTTGTATACCATCTACCAATGCCAAGCCATGCTATATGGTAGTTGATCACGTGATGCGCCTGTTAACTACCACCTATGATCCCTGTCCTTCCTGCATTATTACCAGAGCTTATAGTCCAATGATTCTGCCTTGACTCCCCGCATAATCACGTGAGATTGGTGCCTTAGGGGTCTGTAACACCTGGATGCTAACTGGAAAAGGCAAGTTGATTGTGCCTAGACCGCGGCAACTCCCATGGGACTAAAAAAATTTCTAGTCCCATTTCCCATTCCCGTTTTCCCATGGAAGTCTCATGGGGTATCTAGTCCCGCCCGATGGGAATTCCCATTACTCCCGCGGGACTGATTTTTGTGCATAACTCATCCAAATAGGATGGGTAATTTGCTGAGTGATCATTTTGAGATAGTTACCATTTCTTACGGTTATCTTGGTCGTGTCAATGATTCTGACAGTATTTGGCGATTCATAAGGTGAAATTAAGAGGAACGCACCCTGTATCTTAACATATCTGAGATAATACGTGCTTAATTTCACGTATATGCGATAATAAGATATATTGGTATGTTATTAGAATGGGATTCTGGCGCCATCTCTAATGTAATGGTAGGAATATATATATATTCTACTTTGCGTGGTGAGTGTAGTATTATTTTCTCACTACTATGATCTACAACTTTTTCATTCCGGTGACGGGCACTAGGGTTTTGTCTTAAATGTTCAAACAGCTAGTTTGCTCACATATGCTACTTATAAACCTCCTCGGTCGCGAGGCCTCTAAACGAGATACTCAAAATCACAGCCGGAAATTGCATAGTTAATGCAAGTCACGAGATGCTCAATGTTTGCATTGTTTTTAGTTCCATGGGAAATGCCGCGGTCTAATTGTGTCCCCTCCCCACCCCCCCAAAAAAAGAAGGGAATCCAGACTCGGCCCAGAATTTTTTTTTAGATGCAACTTGGCAATGACGACTTTACCATTCCAATTAAATCAGAGCCGATACACTATTGCTTCTATTGGTTTAGCGTCTTCCGTATAGCGGTTTTCGTATCCACCTATTCTGCCCGTTTACCTTTGAGCTAAAGTACAGCGGTGTACGACTGGAAGATTTGGAGTATCCTAATCTTCGTCCTGCACTATCAGACCTCCACGCCGGTCAGATAATACTTAAGCTTACGGCGCTGTCCCTCGGAGACCTTTCATGATATACATACTGTTCTGGCAATCTGGGCTTGCAAAGTATGTCGCCGAACACTTGGCTGCAAGCAAGCCGACTTTGGGCTGTTCCCGACGGTTTTGGAGGTAAAGCTATTATGAGGTAGATTGACGCTGCTAATATGCCGATCTCTTTTGGCCCCTTACCCAATGGACATTGTCTGAAGCTGGAGTGTCATCATGCAATACATCAATGGAAAGAGAAACGGCTATATTAGTGACTGTCCAATCTATCTAGTTATGGACATAGATATGGGTAATGTTTTCACCTCACAACCCCTGATGGTCTAGTTGGATATGACGTTCGGCTGTAATGGATATTGTAACCGAAAGGTCGCTGGCTCGATTCCGGCTCGGGGGATAATGAGGTTCCTTTTTTTATCTCTTTTTTTTTTTGCCCTTTCAACCTATTTCAATTACTATCTCATTCATTTTAGATTATCCGAATCATAGGCTGTACGATGCAATCTTCCTCATAGGAAAAAAAAAAAAAAAAAAGCACTGACATTCGAGGCCAGCAAGGTATTGTGTGATTTCTCGTAACCCAGGGTCACGTGTTGCTGAAACCGCCCCAGCTAGGGAAATTATCTTCACCCACTATAAGCTCTAGGAAATAAATATGTCCTAGAGCAGGAAAAAAAGAACCTTATTATCCCCCGAGCCGGAATCGAGCCAGCGACCTTTCGGTTACAATATCCATTACAGCCGAACGTCATATCCAACTAGACCATCAGGGGTTGCGAAGATACCGAGGTGTAGTTATACAGCATTATCAAAATTTTTACTATGGGCTAATATTTATAGTGCAGTGGACCCGAATACAACAGTGCAGTGCAAGGTCTTTGCGTTCAAACTCTTTCTTAACGTTAACGCGAAACCACTGGTTTTGGGGAGGGGGCGCAAGCAACTGCGCAAATTCTCAATTTGTGATGTGATCCCGGGGAGAATTCATATCAGTGGCATGATCTTGACAGGTTGGTATAGTTATAAGGATTTAATCACAAGTACAGAGTACAGCCCTAACAAAACCTTTCATTTCAAATTTGAAAGAGAAAAAAAATAAAAGTAAAATCCCCCGAGCCGGAATCGAGCCAGCGACCTTTCGGTTACAATATCCATTACAGCCGAACGTCATATCCAACTAGACCATCAGGGGCAAGATACCAGGAGATAGTTGTTTTATATTTTATAACAAGAACCGGATATTTCTCCATACAAGTACAATTATAGGATGCAAAGGCTTTGTGGTTTATTACAATTCATAATCCATGTTCTTGTCGCAGAGTACTATATTAGTGATTGTATATCTCGGTCCTTTGGATTATAAGCTACATTTAAGTTTGAACATAGATATTTAACTGGTGTCACGGAGCACGGGCGCTCATCAGCGGCATGAGACGTTTGACAACTTTGACCTGTTTAAATATAGGGCAGGAGCCCCTCTCGCACCCACACAATACATGGTGCAGATGGGCCACTCTTGGTGAAGATAAACCGAGTTAAACAATTGATCTCTCGATGGAGGAGTTCTAATGTAGTGCGAGATGGGCATATCTGACACTCTGAGAGCCAGGAAATTAACACCCTTCTTTGCCAAATGATTCCCAAAGAAATTCGGGGAGGATATCAAAAGAGTTTTTAAGACGATACCCTCTATTCCAGTGCTGCTGTATCTGTGAACGGGGCTCTTAGGGACATATTGGGTGGAGGGCTGAATCCCGTCGAATTTATATTTGGCAATTGTTGGTCTTCAAAATCCGATGCTATACAGGGTTTGTTCCTACACTGATTCTAAGGCTAGGGTCTCAAAGCACATTGACAGCTGGTTCGTTCAAGATTTTGTCATGGAATGGCCTGCTAGCTTATATCCCCTACATGGGCGTCAGTTCGTAGGAGCATTTTCAGTGTATGTGGGCCGTCCTCTCATGTTCTTTATTCGAGAAGTCTGGACTTCTATTCTTAATGATTTCTGCATGTCAATTTCTAGTGACAAAATCTGCCTGTTCCCTAGGCTGATTATATCCTGAGGCGAGGCTCATGGTAGATCGTCGCTCGAGGAGATATAACTAGTGGTACTGTGTCAGCACTTGTTCGGCATTGTGCCACGGCTCCGATAAAGTTGGAGATCTAATATAATACAAGCGAAAGACAAGGCAATAAGAATAATAATTGCTGGTAAGAAGCTATCAGGCCACCGTGCGTCAGCTTCAAGTCCCAGATGCACCTAGAATGAGCTAGAAAGATCCTAGAATGGCCTAGATGCAGCGTTGACTTTGTCGGGAAAACTTGTGGTTTTGAAATCATGATCAAGGCTGAGCCGATAAACTGCTGCTTCTCTCTGCTTCCCTGTTGTGTGGCCCCTTACGCCTTGCTTGCTCTGCCCTTTCAAATTACAAAAATGATATTTGCCCACAAGAGCAACAGCCATTAGATCCATTTGGAACCATGTTGAAATATGTACTAACTTTTCAGAATAAGTGACTACACTCATTGTTTTTAGAATTGATGTTATTGTGACAGTCTCGAACAATATAAATTCATCGGTAGACCCTCTGTCGAAATACTAACATGGAGAAAGAAAGAAAGAAGCTGGGCCTGCCAGCGCTGCGCTATCTAGTGTGCGAAGGGGGTTCCTGCCCTATATTCAAACAGGCCAAAGTATACAAACATCTTGCATTGTTGGTGAATGCCTGTACTTTGTGACATTTGTCAATGCAGAGTGAATCAATGCTGTTGTTATGATAGTTCATAATCTCCAACCCTTTTACATGATGGAAACTACTGGAGCAATAAAAGTAATCATTATAGAATCCAATGGTACAAGGAGACGTGCAATCATATTCAGTCATATTCAGTGTATGACTACCTGAAATGAGGGGGGAGAAAGAAAAAAAAAACACATACACACAAAAATGACAACTAGAAACATACTGCAATCTGGACGGATACGCAGAATGCTGAGATTGAGTGAAATTGCTCGAAGAACGCATGTGTGACCCTTTTGGTAGTAGCTAGATCGGTGTCTTGTAATCAGTTGTCTTCTATTTGACCCAGAAGTACGCACCCAAACAGGGATAATCCACACTAACCGAGTAATGAGGAGAGAATACCATTTCTAGGGGCAAGATAATCATGCGGTTGGGGATCTAATTGACAAGAGCCTGTCGCAACATTCATTCCCTTACCATGGTATTTTCCTGACCGATCTGGACGAAAGGGCTGAGCCCCGAGGGTAGGCAATTGTGAGGATCATCGATGAGGATATTTTTTTTGACAGCTCAGAGGCCTGTTTCAGGGAATATCTGTCTGTTCTGTCCGATTGAATGTATGGAGTGGAAAAGTGGAATCAGTCTGTCTCGGCTCACACAGCTTTATGAAAAACCGCCTCTGGAGCCTTTTCTTGGTGTGGATCCTTTTCGTGCACTTTTGTCATCGTTGTTGGGTTCTGCATGCAGTATGTGCTTGTATTTGGCCTGTTGCTTGAACAGTGCAAACTAGGCTAAGCTCAACAATACAAGAGATCGTTGTGATTGATATCCTTTTGGATAAGCTTGAGACCTCTCCCACATATAGCCACAAAAAAAAAAAAAAAAAAAAAAAAAAAAAAAAAAAAA